CACCACGGAGAGGTACCCGCTGGTGCGGCTTCAAGCCCTGACTTCAGCCCCGTAACGGGGAGCTCCTAGCGTAACCTTTTGCAAAGCACTTCTAGTAGTGCACTTTTGTAGCACCATGAGTCTATTTTCTCTGTTGCTCATCTCAAGGCAGGAAGTACCGCGAAATCCAATAGAGGGAGGAGCAGAATGAGCCGTTAAAAACGCATATAAAGTAACAGCTAGTGCTCGGTACACATGCAAGGGATCCGACGACGTCGCTTACCAATTAGGTCATGTGAATAATCCATGGACCATTGATCACGGGCTAATATAAGCTTTTTCACCTGTCCAGCTGTATACGTTCAAATTACTACCGTTTCGTTACCGACGATTTGACATCCACAGCTTTTTTTTCTACCGATGAAATTTTTGGAGACTTGACTAATCTACAGCTCTCTTTACCTTCCACTGCCAACTCAGGTCAAGACTGTTCGTTTTACTACCTGTCTCGTGAGGATTCCTTTATGTGGAATTCCACCATTTTAGTTCGAAAAAGTGGGGGGAAAGCCTTTCGATTATACTATCGGAACACATCACATTTTCAGGACCTATAAAAAAATTGAGAAAGCATCATAGGTATACTTTGGCGCCGATCAATCCCTCTCATGGATGCGCCGCGCATTCCACTCCTACCCACAATCACAGTGGATGATTAGTTCCGCTGGACGGGAGCAGATCATCGAGTTGACCCCGAGTGTGCGCTTAAAAGCATATGGTACGATAATTTGGTTCTTCGGCCTGAAATGGTAACAGGGGTGCTACAGATGCTGTATAGTGGGAAAATGGCGAAAAAGCGAAGTGAAACGGTCAAAAACGCTCAAAAAGTCTTTGTTCTACGAGACTCAGAGACAGATTTAGGACGAGTTTCCCGTTGGCATCGTGCCAGTACCGCTACGGTAGATACGGCTGCATGTATGTACTCATATATCCATGCAGCACCGCAGCCGCTTCATATCAATCCCTTCGCTTCTGATGTACTTCGCAAATGAAGCGATACGAGCATCAGCATCCATCATATTTGTGGGCGGGTGGTCGGGGTGGGTTTCGGGTCGGTATGTTGCTGCTTTATTGAGCACTAAAAGGGTACCTCCTTGAAAAAAGGCATA